AAAAACTAATGAAAACTGCAAAACTATTAAAACCCTGGTGCATGCTAACTGGACTGTAAGGAGCCCGGCTGAGATTGGAGAGGAAAATATACAGCTGACAGAGAACCAGCGTTCAAAACCTGACAAGCTGTTTTTGTGGCTGCTTGAGACCTGGGGAAGTCGATGTCTCATTCCCATAAGAAGCATCATATTATGCCTCATTATTATGGGGTCTCCTACTAACCTGCTACGCCAATCGGCATGTTGAAGTGTCCTCGGGCGAGATACTGAACCCTGGGCTGCTCCCAGTGCATTCACAGTTATGTGAATGTGTGCATAAATGTTGGGTACAGAGAAAATGAATGTATGTATGTGATTGGGTGAATGAAGCTTTTAGTAAAAATGAATTAATCAGAGTAGAAAAGCACCGGAAGTGCTGCACACCTGTATTTCTTCTAATGGCCAGCAGGGGGCAAAAACAGGTCTGACTGTAGAGAACTCTGTGAGAAGAAAGGTTCGGTTCCCTGGTTCCACGCTCTTAGTAAACACTTTCCTGATCCATTCACAGTCTCAGTTGCTCGTTTCAAGGTTTTGTAAATACAATATTATATTTATTTATTAAATATTAACACTCAACAGAGTCTAAGAGGATAACGCTGCTGCCACATGAGTGTACAGCATCCCTCTTTGGTTTGTCAAGCCAATGACTTCACACTAACTATGACGGTTGGAGTGGATTGCATTTTTTCTCCTTTTACATACTTTTTGCCACGTGTTACTACGTGATCCCGTCTGACAACACACTGTTCTGATCACAAGAGATCATGTGCCCACGAGAGATGTGTCTGTCTGCAGCTTCCTCCAGCGATAAAAGCACACCGCTCACAAACGTGTGCAGCCAGATAATCGTCACAGAAGTGAAAAATGAATCACCTGAAAGTACACTTCACATGTAGCAGAAAACCTGAGAGCTCCTCTGCTTTTGAATTCAAGTGGGATGCTTTTACATATTCATGCTGTACTATGTATTCATTTTATGCTCATTAATTCACCTTTAAGTTTGGCCTGGTCTAGAGTTCAGCCACATGTGATGCAAA